AACTATTATACTTGTATATAAAGAATTATGGATAAAAAACAAGAAAAAGGTTAAGCAAAATTATACTTATATATAAAGAATTATGCATAAAAAACAAGAAAAAAGGTTAAGCAAAATTATAGTTATATATAAAGAATTATGCATAAAAAACAAGAAACAAGGTTAAGCAAAATTATAGTTATATATAAAAGAATTATGCATAAAAAACAAGAAACAAGGTTAAGCAAAAAAAAGTAAAATTAACTACTCTTAGGGAAGGGAGATAAAAATAAGTGACAGGGGGTGTCGAGTTTTGTGTTCACACAGTACCTCGGGTGGCAGCACCGTCGCTCGCTTAGCTTCCTCTTGTCGCGGCTCGTGCGATGTCCAAGGCGTCCTTTCCGTCCTCAAGTTGCCGCTTGAGGGATACTTCTCAGACGTCTTTCCGTCCACAAGACGCTGCTTGTAGGATACTTCTCAGACGTCTTTCCGTCCACAAGACTCTGCTTGTAGGATACTTCTCCGACGTCTTTCCGTCCACAAGACGCTGCTTGTAGGATATTTCTCAGGCGCGTCTGCTCCGCCTGGTCCGCTGCTGCTAACTAAGAGAAAAAAAAAAGATGACGCCACATGGCCCCCGTCCCGGGACTTGCAGAACAAAAAAAAACAAATTCCAGACGTCCACTTGACTTTTCCTCCCCGGCATCGATCGACCTTTGTCTTGGGGCTCGCAGCTGGGAGTTTCCCCGACCATGTAGATGTTTTGACCCTTTCTTTCAACTTTTCCCCTCGTCTCCCTTCACCTAAGTCTTTCATTCTATGTACAAAAGTAATGCTCGGTAAAATAGTTTTAACACAATGGTCCATTTGTGAAAAAGACCAAAGCACTGACATCATTCTAGCTGTAAGGCCACACCTCTCTATAAAAGAGAAGCGTGCGCACGAAATGAAACATTGAATAATTTCATCTCTAATTTATTTATTTTATATAACCTAATACTCTCTCTCTCTCTCTCTCTCTCTCTATGTTAAGAAAAAGGCATCTCCTTATAGTGCAACTGAAAGTTGCTGATGGCTTGCGCCATCTACCGAATAAATATCCACTATTCTCATTGATTTCTAATTATTCCAGAATTGGCCAAATACCCATTTTTGATTAATCAAGAAAATCTAACCACGGACGCGTTTCGGGCTGTTGACCCTCATCAGCGTGGTGCAAGCTGTACCTCAACGACCAAAGAATTGGTTATTAAGGCATCCTGAAAAATCATGAAACGGGTAGTTAAGGCCAGAATTGCGGGAGACCTCGACACAATGTGAAAAAAATAGTACAAATGTGATATTGTACTGGGATAAGGTGCATAGATTGAGAAAAAGGCATCTCCTTAACGTGCAACTGAAAGTTGCTGGTGGCTTGTGCCATGTATCGGAATAAATATAAACTAAGGTAAAGCTTGCACCACGCTGATGAGGGCCAACAGCCCGAACGTGGTTAGCTTTTCTTGATTAATCATGAATGGGTATTTGGCCAATTCTGGAATAATTAGAAATCAACGAGAATAGTTGATATTTATTCCGATAGATGGCGCAAGGCATCAGCAACTTTCAGTTGCACGATAAGGAGATGCCTTTTTCTTAATTTATGCACCTTATCCCAGTACAATATCACATTTGTACTAATTTTTCACTAATACTATGTGTTTATAATTTCATTAATAAGAAAAATATTTATAGTCGCCGCTCTGCATTTGTAAATTTTATTAGTTGTACTTTGACTTTTTTTTTTAATCTCGAGAGAGACCTGTTCAAATAAAGTTTTATCTATACAATGAGTGTATTTTGTTTTATTTATTGGTTCACAATATTAAGCCGCAATTAAGTTTAATCGAGAGGAATCTCAAGTGTATTATTTTAATTAATATATTAAAAAGGATCAATTACAATTAAAATATTCCTATTAGAGTATTGGAACTTAAATTTAAAATATCTGCGTTTAATTATTATAATTTCAAATATAATCGAATATCGATTGAAATTGTTATCATAATAGTGTAAATAATTATGTTCAAAATCAAAAGTTGTTATTAGAGTGTAAAATGTTGTCTTAAAAGTGCCAATAAAAATATGCTTAAAAATAAAAAATAAAATTATTAAAATAAACATTTTATTAGTCAAATAAAAGTCAATAAAAAGTCAATAATTGTGATTTTTTTCTTGAAAAAAAAAAACCTCATTAAAAGGTATTAAATATAGTAATTTTCACTGATTAATAGGAAAAGACAATAAAAATGCATTCTCCTTAGGAGTCTGTTTTGTGTACAAAAAAAAAAAAAAATTGTCTGTGATATATTTGTGTGTGTCCCAATTGATTCTAGTTTAAGGCATTTAGAATATTTTTAAAATAATTATTAAAAAAAAAAAAAAATGAACCGAGAAGGTAATGAAGCTAATGAAATTATTGTTGAATATTGTGGAAAGTGAGGGTATGAGCCCCGATATAGAGAACTTGAGAAGAAATTAAAAGTTGTCCTTCCCAATGCCAAGGTAATAGGAGGTGTTGGAAGGCCATCTTCTTTTGAAGTTTACGTCAATGGTCAAAACGTATTCTCTAAATTGCAAGTTGGTTCATTTCCTGACCAAATAGAAATGACCAAGGTAATTATAGATTTCATTAAGACTAAGCAGCTGAAGGAAGTTGGAAAAGTGAAGCCAGGCTGCACCATTATGTAATATTCCTTAATGCTTATTCACACTTTCATATGAAAAATTGTACTTAAAGGATGATTCCAGGTACATTTTAGATGCAAGAAAGTTGTAGAATTGTGATAAAGAATATTAAAAATTTTATTTTGTCTCGTTCATTTACTTTGAAAATATTAACCCCATTATTGAAAATTATAACAATTGAAATTAATATATAACCAAAAGGATTTTGCAGGCAATAAAATACTTTTGTTTCAGAGTAATTGTAAATAACAAAAATGTGATAAATGGTTTATAAACAACAAGCAAAGGTAAATTTTTTCGTTTTTTTTTTTTTTCAATTTGGAATTAATATCAAATACCCCAACTAGATATATCTGAAGTTTATTTATTTATTATCTTATGTCTTACATACATTAAGGAAAGTTTTAAAGTGCCTATTTTCTATAGTGATTCTAAAAATGACATTATCTGACTCATATTCATTGGTTAGGTCTGGTTGGGAATGCCTGAGTAGTTATCTGTAAATAACCGTTGGTTTAAATATATAAAACAAAAGATCGATTTTTTTTTAATTTAGGTACAATTTGGATTATAGATTAGTAAAAAAAAAAAGGATGAAAATGGATATTTGGTTACTACTTTTTGTTTCTAAAGTAAGTGTTGAATTAAAGTAAGTTGATGATTTTATCACAATATATACTGGTAGTGGACATTTTTCTCTATGATAACCAAATATATAATTTAAATAATATATTTTTTAAAAATACTGTTGTAATATATTTCACTTAATAATGTAAATTGATACCATTGGAACTTTTTTTTTTCACAATTAATAAAGCACAATTTGGATTATAGATTATAAACACAAGGTAATAAGACCAAATCCAAATAAATAAATAGTGTGTGACGTTTCTGTAACAACATTGTTACCATCTTCAAACAAAAGTACTGAATGGTACATGTTAAAAGGACATTCAGTACTTTTGTCTGAAGATGGTAACAACGCTGTTACCGAAACGCCACACAATATTTATTTATTCGGATTTGGTCTTATTACCTTGTGTTTTTTTTTTCACAATGTTTCGAAGTTCATATCCAGAAATTGATTGATTTATTGTTTTCTACTTCAATTTAGTTTCATATATTTTTAGTCATTATAAATAAAAGGTGCAACAATGGAAAGTCCAATATCACCAAATTCAGCTTGTATCACTATAGGCCAATTAGAATTCAAAGTATATGTAGATGACCCCATTTTTAATTATTAATCAGGGAATTGAACAAAAAATATTGGATACTTCAAACAATCTATATCCTGATTAATTACTCTGTGGAAGTAGATAACAAAAAAAATCAATTTCTTGTTTTTTTTTTGCTTATCCCTAGTACACGTGGTACAGGCCATGATAATCATGGTAGGTAGAAGGTGACTGCTTTTACTGTAATTGCACCACATGTCTACACACATGAAAAACAGTTCGACTTTGCACTTACAAATAAATATGCCAGAGCCCCGTTTGGTCAAATTTCTTGTACTTACAATAACTTATTGGAACTAGAGTTCACAGCACCACTCATATCAGCCAAAAAGTAGGATTAAAGCTCTTATATAAAGAACCTTTACACTCATTAATTATACAGTTAATAGAAATTAACATAAACACATACAACAAAAAAAAAAAAACTAATCTATGAAGATTTTCCCATCAAATTTATGGATAGAATAATAGCAAACATGAACCAAAAATATGATTATAATACTTATATAGATTCAAAATCTAAAGTGTCTTCTATCTTATCTCCACTCAATCATATCAGGGTATCAAGCTTGTAAAACTTGAGACTTTTGATGGTGTCTGCCGGGGATGAGTAGAGCTCATCATTAGATGAGTCAATACAGTCAATAATGTGTTTTGGAGTTGCAGGTTGAAAATTGCACTTAGTACATAGTGGAATTCTCAACCTGCAACCCCAAAACACATTATTGACTCATCCATTGATGAGCTCTACTCATCCCCGGCAGACACCATCAAAAGTCTAAAGCTTGATAACCTAATATGATTGAGTGGAGATAAGAAAGAAGAAGACACTTCAGATTTTGAATCTAAGTATTATAAGTGTAAAAACCAAGAGAGGAAGCCAAACTCATCACATTAACATAGAGAGCTGGAAATAATGTTATTTTTGTATGTTATGTTCAGGTCCAAGAATTTTTTTTATTTGTTATCAACTTCCATAGAGTAATTGATATCAGGACATATTTTGTTGGGAAGTATCCAATACTTTTTGTTCACTTCCCTGATTAATAAATACCTATGGGCATACCACATTGAAAACACTTGTTCTCATCTGATCACCGAAGGTAATCAATGTCAGGCCTGGTCAGTAATTGGGTGGGTGACCACCTGTGAACACTGGGTGCAGTAGGCTAATTAATGAAAAACCCACCAGCAAGTGCATGTAACCAAAAGAATCCTCGAAAACTTGTAAATGCAAAACTCGAACTGCTTTTCTCATTTGTAGACATGTGATGCGCCTACAGTAAAAGCATTCGCCAACTTCTTAATTTAAAAAAATGAATAAATAAATTTAAAATCCATCCACATTTCTTTTGAAATAATACACATCATTTGTAAGTGAATTTAGAGCCTTGATTTTTAATTACCTATTGTGATACAAGCTGCATTTGGTGATATTGGACTTCCCATGTTGCACCTTTCATTTGGAGATATATTTAGGCCATCATAAATAAGTGTGTATATTCCATTTAAAAATTCTGATTTGGAAAAATTATTTAATCTTTTAACATATGGTTTAATTTATTCATAATTGTTAATATAGGAATTGAAGTAAACATGGATTTGAAATCCAATGCTATAATTCATTTTTAAGAGAGCCTCATGCTAATAATATCTTCTTAGAATTCATAAGTGTTAACAATTTAATTTTCATCAAAATACTGGTTAATTTTTAATTGTTGTGTTATCCATGGATAATTTTCTATATCATGACCAGATTCCTCTGTTTGGTCTTGAAGCTCAGGGCTGTCCAGCTTAGTAGGTCTTCCTATTCAACTCTACCTTTTGGGCTCCATATCACATCTTGTATGGCTTCAATATACATCGCACAATATTTACTCCAGCGCCTCGCCTAGTGATGACTATGATAGTTCTTGCCTGGATCCCACTACTTTCTAAAGAGAAAGTTTCCTTCTTGCATTAATGTATCTCATGATGTTGGCTCTCAGTTAGAAAATCATAGCCTAGTCAACTATGTCAACTTGGTGGATTGACGTAAGACCATGTGTAACCCAACCTAGTCGAGTGTCAGTGACTATAGGTGCACCTACGTCAATCACCTCACTGGCCACTGTCAGGTTTATGTTATCCTGACCAAGAAGTATTGATGGTACAGCTTCTGAAATGTCTTGAACTAACTGTTAATTGAGGTGGGGCCACAGTTGCATCATATACTTGACATGATATGATTACATTGGAAAGTGAAAGTTGCTTCGGTATCCAAATATTTCTGAAAAGGTAGTACTTCCCTCAATTTGCACCTAGTTTGACACTCATCTCTCCTGCTAGATTTGTCAACTTGAGTTTGGCCATTGGTCCGTTAAAGGTGTAACAGTTCAATTTGTCAATCTAATGCATTAGCTAGTTACTCCTTCATCAGAGTAATTTTCAGGCATTAGTCCAGCCTTTTACTGGTGCACATCTCAAGATCACCTTTTCGATTCCAGTTTTTTTTATAAACATTTCCATTGAATTATGGTGATGGAACAGAAAATGTGAAGGCTTCCATTTGAGATGGAGATGATGTTAAGCCATTCACAGCAAAGTGCTGTGTAGATGGTTGCATCCTTTAACTCTACAGATCTTCTTGCTGTCACGTGTCCTACATTGAGGCAATTGAAGCACAGTCCTTTTTCTATGGCAAATTTCCACCACTCACAAACTGATTTTGATTTAAACATGATGCAACTGGTAGTGCTGTGGTTATCCTTGCTGATTGTAAATGCGTTGCCTGTGGACTCTGTGAAAAAAGTATGCCTTTCTTCCTCCCTTTGTCTGTTGATGTTACTTTGCTGGAGATGTTAGCTGTTTTGTTCATCCAATTTGCAAAGTCCTAAAGTGTATTATTTTGTATTTACATCATGCTCTTGCCTCATTTTAATTTAATACTTTCTTGCAATTTTCTGAAAGTTCCATTATGAGGTGGGATTCTGTAGATGTACAGGAGTGTTCAAGGCATCAATCGTTACCACAAGATTGATGATAGTGCATGAGTATTCAATCATACTATGGAGATTACCTTTCTTTGGAGCAGGTACTCGCTTAGATTTTTCGACTAGGGTTTCAATGATATACTGAGATTTCCCATATATTCTATCTACGTTTTCAGAAACAATCGTTAGAGCGCCTACCGAGCTCCTGGCCTCTCTCTTCAGAGCAGTTTCAAGCCTTGTCATGTTTTTGGCTGGAGAATATTCGGCTTCTTTAATCTGTTGTGAAGAAAAGGCAGGCCAATCCAAAGGATTTCTATAAAAAGTCTGACAACTTGCTTGATCAGTAATTCTGGAAAATAAATATTTGCATTTTCTTCTTGAGTTATTGCCTGAGAGTTAACGCATCTACTTCAGTAGTAGGTAAAGGTGAAGGCTGCAGAGATAGATGTTGATGAGCTGTGAAGGAGTCAACATACCATGGGGGTTAATTAATCCTTGAAGTGAAGTCTTCAAATGTAGGAACCACTTCTGTTTAAAGCAGATCCTCCTTGATTCTCTGAATTCTTGTGACGCGTTTTCTTATACTTCAAGCTTGTAAATTTTAAAACTCTTCAGCTGTATCTCCACCTTATTTTAACTTTGTAATTATAATTAGGTTTCCTGTTCCTCAATATCAGAAATTTGTAACTCTAGTTCCTGTTATGCTCTCAATTTAGAGTAATTTTCTCTAAGAAGTTTTTTGAGATTGACTTGTTATTTTGTTGATGATTTCATATTAGAAATTTAATAAATTCCAAGTTTTTGGTCTAAATTCCCTTTATTTCGACACCAATTATCTCTCATTATGCATATTTTGATATTCGAGATCGGCACCAAATGCCAAAGAAAAACTGACAAATGTTGAGCATGGTGTTGTCTGAGAAATTTACAAGAACAATCTCTTTATTATGCAGATATCAAGATTACAAAAAAAAAAAAAACATAGAGATACAAACTTACAGGCAGTTGACTTCTTGAGAGATTACAAGAGGCTGGTGAAATGTCGATGCCAATTGTCAATAATGTGAAAATTACTTTATTGTTGACCCTGAGTGTTTATAGAAAATAATAGGGGCAATCTAAACAAGTGAGAAGATGAAAGATTGTTGCCTGTAAATTTTCTTCTAATTTTTAGAAGAAGGCAACATACTGGAAGGTCACTTGATGAGCCTCGAATGATTGTCATAGATAAAATTTGAGAATATTTGTCCATATATTCTGTTGAAAGCCAGTGTAAATATTTGATTTTTTATATATGCTAATTATATCTTTGATTTATATTTGTGGTATGTAAATTTAGAAGAATTTTGATGATTTGCAGTTGTTTAGAAATATTAATTTTTTATTTTCTTTTTCAATCGGTGTAGATAGTAGAGAAATAAAAGTCTTTTTGTACAGTCGCTGTGTGGTTGTTTCTAAGTTTGATATAGGCTTCCTTGAGGAACACGTGAACCCAACCCCTAGAAAGTTGCGTGCGTATTGCTCTGGATCTACACGGTCGCAACATAATCAATAAAAGTCAAACTATACTTGATAGACACTGACAAAAGCAGAATATTCGAGACATTACACAGTTTCACATCATGAGATCATAAGATGCCAATAAAATGAACTATGACTCCAGGCAGAGAGAAGAAAAAAACATCCTGAAGATGTATACATATATATATACATGTGCGAAAAACTTATAAACCAGTAATTCGGCCCAAAGGTTTATCTGTGATCTAAGAAGTAGAACGTTAGGGGAGCAGGGAGGAGGCTGGAAAATCAAAAACCTGTGCAGGTCTTAAGGATGAAACCTAAATGTAGACGTCTTTTAAGCACTGGCCCAGGAATGATCATTCACGCTGTGAGACTACAGATCTCTAAAAGAAGCATAGGGCAATGTAAATTAATATTTATTTACCTTTAAATTATTTTTCAGTTATAATCAAGTATAAATACTGTTATTAAAGTGTAAAAGTTGTGTTAAAGTGCAAAATCTTAATATATTTAAAAGTTACAAAGGTCTTTATTAAAATTGATTTTATTCAAACAAAAATTCCTTATTGACATTCAAAATTCCGAAAATGAAATATAAAAATACCCTTATCAAAAGGTATTTAATATTGTAATTATCATTGATTAATAGTTAAAGTCAATAAAACGCATTCTGCTTATATCTGTGTTATTTTTGTTTGCGGCCTATTTGTTTCTAGCTTAAGTGTTTCGTTTATAAAAATAATTCACTACTAAAAAAATGAACTCAGAAGATAATCGACCTATTGAAATTTATGTTGAATATTGTGGAAAGTGAGGGTATGAGCCCCGATATAGAGAACTTGAGAAGAAATTAAAAGTTGTCCTTCCCGATGCCAAGGTAACAGGAGGTGTTGGAAGGCTATCTTCTTTTGAAGTTAATGTCAATGGTCAAAATGTATTCTCTAAATTGCAAGTTGGTTCATTTCCTGACCAAATAGAAATGACAAGGGTGATTATAGAGTTCATTAAGACAAAGCAACTGAGGAAAGTTGGAAAACTGGAGCCAGGCTGCACCATTATGTAATATTCCTTAATCATTATTCACACTTTCATATGAAAAAGTGTACTTAAAGGATGATTCCAGGTACATTTTAGATGCAAGAAAGTTGTAGAATTGTGATAAAGAATATTAAATATTTTTAGAAAGTTTCTTTATTTGCTTTGTAAACTTTATAATTGACCTCATTGTTGAAAATTATAACAATTGAATTAACCAAAAGGATTTTTCAGGCATTAAAGTACAGGTTCCAGAGAGTTTGTAGATAATTTAAAAATCAATGTGATACATGGATTATAAAACAACAAGCAAAGGTAAATTTTATAAATGTTTTTATTACCTATTTGTAAGTATAATCTCAAATACTAACTAAATATATCTTAAGTTTCTGTTTTTTATTTGCTCAGTATTATCTTATGTTCATATAGGAAAGTTTTAAAGAGCACTTATTTTCTACTAGACGAATGGCCCGGGCAACGCCCGGGGTTTACCCGAGTGCGAATATATTTTAAAAACGTTGACTTGGGTGGTCGCTATTAACAGGGTGGTCTGTATAGACAGGTGGATGTATCACACAGCTGATAACAGGGTTGTCTAGAGTGGTCGCTATAGACAGGGTGGTCTGTATAGGCAGGTGGATGT